AAGTGAAGTATTTTGGATTGAAATTAAGCCATATATCTTTTCATATTGTGTTAGAAGTTTATTTTTTATTCTGAAGTACACAGCACAAAAATATGCAGTACTTGATCTGATGGAAAACACTCTGTGCTCTCCTAAACATCTTTTAGTACACTTCAGTGACTTGTCGGAGGTTTCAGATGCTCTAGCTAGACAAATTATGACATGGTAATTCTCCCAAACACCTTATGAGGGAAAAACACCTTCAGAAATAGAGCAAGATAAAGACTTTGGAGCTCTGTGTACTGTCACTAAAGAATGAGGGCCTTATCCTAAACTGGAGCAAATCAGCATAATTCCGTAGACTATGAGATCAGATCCTTGACTTCAATGGAGCTATGTGATTTATATTAGATGAGGACCTGGCCTCAAAAGTTTAAAACTAAAAATATGTTTAGCATTGTGGAACACTTATTACCATCCTGTGCAGCTGAAATGGAATAAAATCTCCTGGTCACAATCAAAGCTGGGGTAATGGAGTTCAATTAACATGTACCAGCTGAGGATCTGGTTCTCCCATGCTTAGCTGAAAGAGGGCTGTTGTCCCATCACTTTCAGAGGATCTTCCTTCACATTGTGCCCTGAAAAACTGATCCAGCAAATAATGCAACATTTGCTGTCTCTGAATTGGCATTTGGATCCATCATATACTAAGCAGAAAGACTAAATCTAAAGTAATCTGAAAGTCCTTGGGATGCTGTTCACGTTAGTTTAAAATGCTTAAAATCCTAGATCCTTAATAGATGATATGTATGCTTTGAAAATTACAACTAAATTGACAGTAGTTAAAAGTTACTTTTTCCTTTGTCTGCTGACACTTGTACCTATTGTATTGAACCTACTGAGGAGGAAGTTGATTGTGGAGGTTGGTTTTCAGGTCAAGATGACCTCAAGCTTTCTACTACTACTTTGTAGATGAAAGAACTTGTCTGAGGAGAGGAACTATTTTATTTTGTCACTGACATGGCCTTTGTTTTTTCCAGGGTGATTGACTGCTGGATTTTGATTCTGGATCAGTAGAGTCACAACTTCAGTCATGGAAACCATTTCCCTTCCCCACCTAAAACAATGATGAGTGGTATCCTTCTGTGATGTTATCCGATTAAAATATGACCAGGCAAATCATCGTTGCTACCACTGTTATATAATTGAAACAAATCTTATACAAACTGTGATGCATGGCCAGAAAGGGTTAAGCATCCTGCAGGATAAATGACCCAGAGCCCACAATTAGAGACATTTTAGAAAAGTATATAAATGGTAAAGGGCCATTCCACAGTAGATAGGCTAGAACTTTGAAGTACAAACCTGTATTGTTAGAAAAATAGAGGTGATACTAATTGTGTGTTTACTTTTATCTTGTTAAATGTTAGCCATGTAAATAGACAGTTCCTGTCTGTCACTATAGCTATTGATTTGGAGATCAAAAGGGAATATTAACATGGAGATGAATCTTCGGTGAAATAATGTCATTGTCTATATGTCTCTTTAAAGTTTGTGATAGACTGTCTAATGGATAAATTGCCTTGTGTTAATTTGTGTAGTTAATTATTGGTGAGAAGGCCTGGAGAATTATCAGAGAAGGCCTGGAGCTGTATAAAAGACCCTTGGGTCCTGATCCTTTCTATCTCAGATCAGCTTGATGCTTCATGCAGGGGAAGCTTAAGCCAAAAGGCTGAGATCTCCAGTCCTAACCTGGAATTACCCTGAATATAAACATTGGACTATAACCTGTGAACTAATTCTGAAAGAACTCTTTGCAATTACAAAGCTCACCATCTCTACTATGAATCTGAATCTCAAGAACTGTACTCATGTCTGTATGTATACTGATCTTTAAGCCAATACTCACTCTCTTTTGTTTTTTAATAAATTTTAGTTTAGTGAAAAAGAATTCACTGTAAAAGATCTGGAATATTCATTAACCTGGGAAGTAATGTGTCCAATCCTTTAGGATTGCTAGAACTTTCTTATATGATGAATAAGATTTTCAGTAATCCTTATCATATTTGACTTGGGTGTCTAGGTGGAGGTCTGAGGGAGGCTTTAAGGGAACTGTGTTCTTGGCTTCTGGGTAACCAGTGAGGTATTATAGAAGCTGTTTTGTGCTGGCTTGGTAAATTTAAGTCCTGGAATGTCCACCAGCTTTGGGGATTGTCATCCCCATTCTTTGCAGTTCACCCTAATTGAGTGACCTCAGTTGGCTCCCCTGGAACTCCAGTCACACCTTCATAATCCTAATGCACATCCTACTACCTGGCCCCGGATTTTCCATACCACAGCAGCGCTTTTGTTTCTTTGTCAAGTGGACTACTGGAATTTGATTTGACTTGCCCAATGAAGCAACCAGCTTTTTCCTGAATGTAGAATGACTATCCTTTACTTTGGTGCTACCACAGTAGTTGGCTAGCTGTAGCAAAATGTGATGCGCATTAGCGTAGGGTTCTTAAATTTGGGTAGAAAAAAAGCCAGGCATCAATATTATCATGCTAAAATGTAGGAAATTGTATGAAAACAGCTCTTCCTCTGTACCACCCACACAAACAAATGGATAAATACAAACTGAGATGACAAAGCAAAAGAAGAAAAAGCTTGTTATTACTAGTCAGAGCAAACTTTGAGCCTGATCACAAACTCCTTATTCAGACTAAATCCCTATTGACTTTAGTGAGAGCTCTGCCTGAGGGAGAATTCCAGGGTTTGTTCCTCTTGTATATCTAATTTAACATTATACCCTTTACTTACACACCATGTGTACAACAAAATGGAGATGTGCTATTAAATTACATACACACTTATTCTGTATACACCAGTGGGTCTGCCAAGCCACCACAATTCAAAAACGCTGCTAGAAGGTATTGTTTTTCAACAGTGATGCCAACAAATTACTCCCTCATCCTTTTTGCCACCAGCTTCCAGAGGTAGTGAATACTAGATATTACATGAAGAATGCACAATTATTGTGTCGCCAAAGTATTGAATAGCTTGCATGTAGAAAAAAAATTGTAATGAAAAATTTCAGCAGTATACATCCCTGCCCTTCCTCCCACAATATAGTTTATGGGTCTACATACTTTTTTTCCCACCCAAAAAAGTAAAAGGAATCAAAAATAACTTTTAAAAGTTGCTGTGTTCAGCATACAGCTAGCTACATAATTGCTGTACAATGCTCTTTGGTAAACTAATTCCTAAATCAGATTCTCCTGTCCACTTGTCATAGTAGTTTGAACATCTGTATCTCTGATGACAGACTAAAAAGTACCCTCTCCTCAGTCTTGACCTGGAGAGGCCCACCTCTGGACAGAAGATAAATAGTATGGTCTCCAGGCCATTCAGTGTTTAGCTTTTTATGCAGGGATTTCCAATGACGTTGCCGCTTCTGATGGTGTTTTTCTATGATGTGGACTCTTCTCCATTGGTAACTGGACTAAAGCCACCACTTCATTTCACAAAAGCCAAACAGACAACAGCTGGTAAGAAATTTTAAATGTCTGAAAACTGAATAATGTCCCACTAACTTCACTGATGATATAATAATGGTGAAATAATTTCATTTTTGTCCCAGGAATGTGGTTCTTGAGGGAAGGATTTCTAAAATCTTATCTCAGGTACTTTTTTCCAAATCCTGGGCTTGAACCTATGAGACACAGTGTTACCTCAGCTCTCTTGACTTGAGTAGGAGTCAAAGGTGCTCAGTAACTTTCAGGATCAAGCTCATGTTGGAAGTCAGACAGGAAATTGAAGGGATATTTAGGGTATAATTTAATTAGATACAATCTTCAGCCAAAGAACACTCTATTGCTCTTCATAACATTTGACCAATCAAGTTACCTTTTCTGTTGGTTACAGTGTTTAGACTGTGTAGCATTTTCTTCTTCAAATGGATTCAGAATAAAAAAGCAACCAATTTAAAACTGCTAAAACAAAGATTTAGTTATTCTGTCCCAATCCTGCAATTCCTTAATGTCAAAAAGAATTGAAGGAGTCCAGAACCTCCTAGGACTGGGCCCTGAATAATTAAAGTTGACTAAATATAAAGAGAACCCTGAGTTAAAATCATATATAAAAGTGTATATGTATTACTAACATTTTAGACAGTTAAAATAAAAAGCTAAAGATTGGATTTACTTTTCATTATTTATGTTGTCTACTAGAAATGAACAAGGGACAGAATTTAGTTTTAAATAATTTCACAAATGTTTACTGTTTTTAAAATTGCCTGTTTTTCCTCTTTTTTCAACTTCTACTACTAGATTTTGCTCATAACTACATTTCAAATATGTATACTTATGTAGCTAGATAAAATATTTTTCTTGAATTTGTGAGTGCTTATACAGTTTTCTAATCAAAATGTACCTTTCCTCCCTCCTCCCCCCAACCCCATGATTTAATTTATTTTTATCTTAAATTCAAATTGGTTTTATTGTTCACTTTATGCCTTTCACTCAATGTGAAAAACTGATCTGTTTCTAGTTAGTTCTGTTTTCTGGATCTCATGCATTAACACTGTATTGATGTGTTTGGGTTGAACAGATTGTTGGGGAATCTATATAATAAAAATATCTTTTCACTGACTTGATAAAAGTAATGAAAACATTGCTACCTACAAACATGTTTTCTAAAGCTTATGGGGCAAAAACTAACCAAACCAAAAATGTGGTCTTAAAACTACCTGACAAAGATACTTATCTTTTGATGCTTCTAGTCATAAGAATCCCCTTCGTTAACAGACATTCTTACAAGATCCATGATTAGAACAATAAGTCATGCCATGATCAATTAATTCACAGTACTGCCCGTTATTTTTGTTTAAACAATTTATGTCCCTGAAGATACTGTGGTCTGGCACTTAGGGATTAAGTGTGAATATATTGTGCTCTCAAAATAAGTAACTATTTATTTTCCTTAAAAAAAAAAATTGAAGAAAGATTTCCCTTTGGCAAAAATTGCACTATGCTTCTTACCTGAAAGTTGCCAAAACAGCTTCCTCCAGGTAGGGTGACATAACTGACAAATGGAGGACCAGGAAAGTTCAATGACTCATACACCACTGTGCCTTCACTTGGAAATACAGCTCTCTGTTTCTGTTTGTTCTCCCAGAATTCCTGCAGCACTGCTACGACATTCACTATCAAAGACACAGAAGTGACAAATTTTGGGTGCAGTATAGACATTTTATCTTCACTTGTAACTTTATTTGCCAGATTTAAACAAGAAATATTCTGGTTATATTCATGTGAGAGTTGAAGATTCAGTCAAAGCCATCACCTGCACTGTAACTGTATTTTGCTCCAGCATGATGTTAAGAGGCACTGTACTGTTGGAGCAGTTGTCTTTCAGGTGAATGGGGAACTATATAGAAATTCCCCTTTGCTCATCACAAGAAGGGTCACAGTTGCTGTGTTCCACAGCAGAAGTGGCTGGATTTTAATGGTGCATGAAGTGATGCGTTTCCACACTGCTTTGTGATGTGGTCACAAAGAAAGATGCTGTATATTAGGGCAGAGAGAGAGCTGCCAGTTAACATGAACACTAAAATACTAATGTACAAACTACAAATTGCTATAGTGCTCCTGCACTACAAAGCTTTAAGTTTCAGGGATGGGATTTTCAAAGCTTCCTAAGAGTCTTAGCCTCTCAGCTCCCATTTAAAGTGAATAAAAATTGGGTGTACCTCCTTTAGGCCCCTTTGAAAAGCCCAGCCACAAGGTTACAGCTGATGTTTCCTGGCAACTACCTAACAGTGATGGCACTTTTTACATTCTGTCAAAAATATTATCAATTCCTGTTTTAGACCATGCCCCTCTCAAACTACATGCCAGCTTACCACTTTCGAGAACAGGCTTATTGGAGGATCATTGTAAAAACACAAGATGTTATCTATTTCCTATGATTGCTTGCTTGGATGGCCATAACAGGGAAAGCAATGAGCATACAGAAACTAAGAAAGAAAGTCCTTACATTGGACCTTCACAGTGGTATGGCTATCTCCCTCTCCACATTTTGAGTAACGAATGGAATAAGAAACAGATGGTTATTGCAACGTGTGATGGTGCTTTGACACAAACTGCATAAGAGTGAAACCCAAACCACAGAAACTGAGTTCTACTTTTCTAAATTATAGCTTTATCCCTCCCCTTTGAGACTACTAGAATTTATGAACTGCATACTTAATGATCGATACTACCTGCTGTTGATCTTTGATATGCATCACAGCAATCCAGAAGAATGAAGTGACTAGATGAAATTGGTGACCTACCATTTTTATGTTCAACCAGGGCAATTATCCTCTTATTTTCAACTTATTTCAACTTTGAGTGATGAGTTTAAGCAAAAACCAAATCTTTAGACCAGATAACTGCCAGCAGAACAGACTGTAGAACCACATGTAGCCTAGATCAAGGAAAATGTCTAGGGTCTGCTGTGTTGAGAACTTCTCACTGACCCTGAGTGAAATATATCTTTTACATCACTGGTTGCTTCACTCTGTCTCTTACATTCATGTTTGGTAATGATTCAGTTTAAAAGCCATTAAGTGAAAGTTGATATCTAGGAATAAACTTCATGCATGTTAAATGTCAAATGTCTACGCTTTGAGCTTGACAGTTCAATAGAAGGGAAGTGCCACATTTATTGGAAAAATTGTATTGATATTAAATCTTTATTGAAAAGGTCACGTTTAGGTTAAAAGAAACTAGCTTGAAATAGAGCACCAGAATACAAACAAATGACAACAAGAACAAGAAAGGCTTATGACATCCCTATAAGGCAATTGTGGCCGTAGCTCCTCTTGGGAAAATTGACATTTAACTGTTTAAAGTTTGTTTGTTTTTTAAGGAAAAATCAGATGTCTACGCCATGAATCCTAGACCACCAATATGAATACCACCCACAGATCTTTCTGATTTACTTGTGACATACAATGTTAATTTAAGAAAACATCAACTGATCTTAACCTATTTTGCAGTCCAAATATTCTACAGCCTTTCAAATCAGAGCCACAGCTGCCTCCCCATCAGAAAAAAATTAGTGTTTTAGCAACTTCTAGGCTGGGTTTTCAAAGAAGCATAAGAGAGTCTGGTGCTTAACGCCCACTGAATTTGGACTGGATTTGGGGGCTGAAACACTGTTGAAAAGTTAGGCTCAATACTTGTTTATCAAAGAAAAATTATAGTTATCCAGATGACAAACACTAGCTGTTAAGAACTGTTCAATGTCCATAGTAATGGTTGGCCTTTTAAATCTTTTTTTTCCTTTCCTTTTTTGTATCATCTGTCTTTCATATCTTTTGTCAATTTTACAGCAAGACTGAGAAAATTCATAATATATCATTTTTGTTCTCTTTTGACTAGTTCAGCATTTGGACAGCCTGTGAATACTTCTTGGTTGGTTGAAAGTTTTCACTAGACTTTGTGATACCTTCAGCTGTTTTAAAAATTAATCTACATAAAGTTCCCTAAGCAACCAAGAGATTCTTCTTGATCACAGAAAAGTAAGGCAGAGTATCTTCTTTTGCTGAAGTCCTGAAACTTAACTTTGGCTGTCAATCTCTAAACCATGTTTGTTTTTTATAGATTAAGCTAACAGGACAAGTATCTAGAGAAAGGCAGTGTATAGCTATTAGTAGTAGTAGTATTCTGGCAACACCCATTAACTCTACTCTTACACTCTTTTCACACACATAGGAAGACTGAATTTATAATCCCCAAGGTTTTACAATCCAAGAAAATTTAGGGCTTGTGTACACACAAAATAATACCAGTTTAACTCAAGTTGTGATTTTATTCCTCATTTAGTTAAAGCAGTGTGACTTTGTGTGAGACAGTCTCTTAGATTGGTTTAAAGAAGGCCTGTATTGGTTTAGCTTGCATGAGTAAGTTTATAGGCACAAAGTAAACGGATATAGGGCAGTTTTAAAATCGATATAAGAGTCTATACTCACAACTTGCAATGGTTTAACTAAACCAATGTAAATTAAACCATTGAAAATTCTGTGTGTAGACAACATATTATGCTCTCATATTCATATATATTTTAAAAATGTTATCACAAGTTATTCTAAACATATCCATTCCAAAAAGGGGGCATTTAATTTAAAAGAAAAAAACAAAAAACAGGATGTAACTGGCAACCAGAGAGGTTTGTAAAAGTTCCTTTGCATCTTATAGTAATCCAAGGAGCATTGTAGAGGTATCAGGAACCATTCTACCACTATCAGGTACATAGGTGGCTGTTTAATCCCTCTTGAAACAGCTACCATAGCAATATGGATAGTTTACTTAGAGCCTCTACATTCATTTGCATATAAGAAATTGCACTATTTATTTTTTTGAACATTCTGGATGAAGTCTTGTCAAATCAACTGATATTTACCTATTTTTCTTCACACAAGTTTTTGCATGCTCCACAGGAGTGCAGTGCAGCAGCAATCCAACTTTTAAACTATCCAGTAACGATGTACAAATGAAAAAGATAGATTTTTTTTTAATGTTGGAAGCGTCAAACACACTAAACTTAGCATTGCGATCTACGTCTCATTTGGAATTAATGTCATTCACTTTAATTTGCTTTTTGTATTTTGAAAAATAAATATAATATGGCCAAAGATGTTTAAACAATGACTAGAGTACCTATGTGCATTGGTGACTACTTTTCCTAATGGTTTAAATTACCTGTGCTCTAAAATCTGTTATTCAGTATATTGTAACATTATTGAATCAGTTAAACTTATAGGGTGAAATCCTGACTCTGTTGAAGCCAATGCCAAAACTCCCTTCGACTTCAATGGGCCAGAATTTCACCCATGCATTTTCCTCTCTCTTTTAATGTTACAATTATGTAATACAAATATCTAAGTAATGTTAGAAATGTGACCAGTTTACAATATAAGGATTTCATGGGTCCTTTATCCTTAATTTACCTCCATTCATGGGCATTATCAGGGTTTCAGACCAAACTTCTAGTTACAAGGGGATAGAAAGAACATCTCTTTACTATGCATTTCGGTGCTTTTGTTAGTTCCCATAATAGCCAAGGCTCTATGGACTATGCAGCACACTGGACCTAACTTCCGTGGTAAGAGTCCCCTGGTTTCTGGGACACGGATACTGAATTTTACAACAAACAGGAAAAGATGTGGCAGTGCCAAGTTAACAAAAAAATATTGAATTAAATACAAAAAATGACTAATATGGATAATACTGATTGTGCTATTTTAGAATTACATGTATTTTATGCTGTTCCCCAAATGTTCAGCTTTTGTACTGGTAATGTGTAACCAGTGCAGAAGTTTTTGAGGGAGGGTTAAGTAGCAGCTTTGACAGCTGACCTAGGACTTTTGACACACAGGGAACAGTGAGGATTTTGCCTTTTGAAAGTTGATAGCGGGCAGGAGAAGAGATGACTTAAGAATTCCAAGTTGCTTCAAATTTCAGTTCTCCACATGTGGAGAACATGGGAGAGACCTGCATTATTGGTGTGAATATTAGGTATGCCTCATCTTACTTGGTTCTTATTATGATACTGGCTACATGGTCTCAAAAGGTTAACCCCAGCCAGAGCTGTCCACTTAGGAGGACCAGAAAGCAGACAATGACTTCAGAGAAACCTTATTGTCTGGTGCTCAGAAACAAGAGGGGCCAATTCCTTTGAAATCTCATGTCTGCTGGGCTCTGGCTAGTATGGCCAAGGGTGGGAGGGGAGAGACTCTTGTGGGAAAGCTGGGATTCTAATAAAAACAACCCCGATAAATAGTGGGGAAGACTGAGGACGTCTTCATTGCACAGTTAACTGGGGCTCTTACTCTTTGACCCAAGACTGGAGGTGCTTTAAACCCAGGCTAGAATCCAGGCTCTGATTTAATTCAGCCTGGAACCCACTCACTTTGCAGTGAGGATGCAGGCAAAAAATCTCTCAAGTACCATTCCTCCAATGCCCTTCCCACATTTCCCTCTGAAGAATGGACAAGTTTTCCTGCAAGAATGTCTCCAGACAAAGAATCCTGAGATATGCCCCCCATAGACATGTGGGTGAGTGCAGAAACACTGAGGACAGAGTAAGTTGGGTAGGTGTGAGGTTGCTTGTAATCAGGAGAGGCTAACATGCATACAAAAAACCTGGGTGCCAGTC